GGATGCTACCCATACAGTCAGGGGAGCCAGTGGCTTGGCCACAATGCACAAGAGAAGCAACAGGTGGTGTCTCACACCCTGTGCAGAGTTAAGGCCACATCTTCATTTTTGTCTTCTATCTTGAGACAGTCTCTCCCATGATCAACCTTAGAATCTGGCAGAGAAAGGGATTCTAAAATAATCATAATTCCAGCTTGGTGAAGTAACATGGAGTATACTATCTCAATGGAGCACAGTTTTTCTACCCATGAAGTATAATTTTCTCCACCTCCCTACCAGCCTTTCATGTGTTTCAGTTGTATCTGGTATTTACTAGTTTGGATAAATGGCCCCAAAAGGCCCAGATGTCACCAGCCTATAGCATTACCAGGAGATCACGGAACCTTAGTATGTGGAATCTACAGTAAGTTAGGTCATTGGAGGCATCAGGCCCTTAAAGGAGATATTAGACCCCATCTGTCTTCTTCCTGACAGCCATGAGGTAGACTCACCACAGATCCAGAAGCCACAGGCCAAATGGCTACAGACTGAGCTTCAGAAATCATAAGCCCAAAAATTCTTCCCTCTTTACAACTTGAATAGGCCAGACATTTTGTCAAAAGGATGGAATGGTGACCAACACAGTATTTTAATATTTTAAGCCACAAACACCTAAGGTGACTCAGGCTACCTATTGTGCACCCAAGGTAAATGGCTGCCCAGATAGAACACATAGAAGTCTTGGCCTTCTGTGCATTAGATGTGCTGTGTCATTGACTGCCTCCCAAACATGAGTACAAGCAGACATGCCAGCTCCAGTAATACATCTTCTCACCCAATACTCACTCCTCACCTTTCTACCAACTAGGACCCAAACATGAGGCATGGGAGCTTCAGCACACAATGACAACAGCAGAGTGGCAAGCTTGAACAATCCTGAGGTGTTACAATAAGATTCCTTCCCTGCACTTTTTTCTTAAGGGTTTCCAAGGCCAAGGGATCTTAGCAGTCCCTGGGGTTGAGATGATAAAAACCAATCATCAGAAAACAGAATGGATTGGCTAACATGATCAAGAGGACCAGCATAAAAATTCCAGGTGTAGCTGAACTGAGGGATAAAGCATTATGGCTCTCTGTCTCACAGCCCACAAGAAGACAATAGCTTCTGTTTCCCCAAGGTCCTGTTGGGGCCATACATAGGCTTAGCCCAAGACCACCTGGGAAGGCACCTGGACCATCAGTGGCCATTCTGATCCATCCAGGAAGGTAACCAACACTACAAGGCAGTGAAGACCTCCAAAAAGATGGCAAAGCCAGGGAGGTTGAATTGGGGCTCAGAGAAAGGAAAACTGCCCTCAACTGGGAATTCACACAAAGGTGGGATTTGGGCCCAGGTAATGTAGGAAGTAGAGTTTAAGAACAGCTAAAGAAAAAAATATTCTTTGTTTCATTCTTGACCTTTTTCAAGGTTCCAGCAGGCTCAGCAGCCCAGTGGATGTAAAGATCGTGCAATTTTTCTCCCCAGTGCCATTGCTCCAGGATGACAAGTGTTTCTCTGGGTGCTGAATCCTTCATGAGAATGACAGAAGCAGGGAGGTGTGGCCAAGAGGACCAAAATCTCCAGCTGGGCAAGAAAGATGCATGGCACTTCTCCCCTACCTGAAAGGCTGGCAAGAGTGAGTGGCAGTTCCTCTAATCAATCCAGAAAGGCTTGTTACATCAGTAAATGACTGAAATAGGAAGTGACATACCTTAGCAAGCGTGCATTACTCCTTTTCGTTTTTTATGTTCCTGGAATTGTTTCTTTTGGGTTGGGGGTAGAATGGCTTGTAATTTTAATATGTTCCTATTAATCCTAAAACTGTCTAGTGTCGGATTTTAGGGCCGTGCTTTTATGAGCATTCAAAAAGTGTAATGATTTTGAAACCAGTCAGACTCCTAGAGCCTGAGGCTCACAGTACAGGACAGAGACTTTCTGTAGAACGGTGTCCCTTCGGCCAACCAGGGAGCTATTGGCTAGGCCTAAGAGAATGGCTGCTGACTTTGGCCTTTGAAAGTGATGGAGGTAACGGTGACAACCATGCTGTTCCTCCTCCTGTTGCTGCTGCTAATGTTGACAATGATCATAGCACCCACTGGTCTCACGGGCAATGTAGCTAAAACAAAGCCTACCTTGGTCTAAGGAATCAGTACATTTACCTAAATAATTAAGGTATAGGCGTATGGGCTGTGATTTAGCAGTGGAGCACTTGCCTATAATGCATGTGGTCCTGGGTTTAATCCCTAGCCCTCACCCTAAACCATTGTGTGTGTGTGCTGCTTGATGGCTGGAAGAGCATTTGGGACTTACTTCTGTTCTAGTTATCTAATAACAAAAATGATTTGGCACACAGACCTCTTTCTTGACCTGCAAGCTTGCCCTTTGAAGCAAGTGGGGTGAGGTGGACCCATGGTTGCTTTAAGCAGAGTGTCTCTGCACTCATTAATTCTTAAGGCACATGGGAAGACATCATATCCCTCTAAGGATCACAGCGAATCATGCAGGGGCATTCCTGACTTCGGGTAGGTACACAGCCTGCTCATCTCAACTGTGTTGACTTAACCTGGTAGAGATCTATTTCAGTTTCAATTCCTGTCCATCATCAGGTAGGCCTTGTGACTTGTAATGTCTCTTCTGGGAAGAATATACTTCTCTGCCCCACTGACACTGATCTGGTGACATAACCTAGCCAATGAGACGTGAGCAGAAGAGACTGTATGGGATGCAGGGGAGCCTCTCTCACTCTTTCTCATTTCTTTCTGTCTGCCACAGGAATGCCATGTCCCTGTAGGCACTCAACTTGAATTGCCACCTGTGAGTGAGTGGTTTGTATGCTACTGAGATGTTAGGCTCATTTGTCACAATTGACTGATATAAATGGTTGCTAATTGTCATGAACAAGTGAAAAATGGCCCAACTCTAGTACATGTGGCTATTGATTGAGCTGGTAAGAAATCGGGGGAAACATAGGGAGGGTTAGAAGGAGGAAAAGGGGGTGGGAAATGATGTGATTATATTTTAGTTTCAAAAACAAAAATAGTAAAAAACAGAAACTAATCCTAAATATAAGAAAATTATGTTCTTCCTTCAGGTTGAACCAACAGTAATAAAACCCCAGTGTGGCATAGGAAATATGCAAGGGCTGTAAAAACCCATAGAGTCATAGAACATGCTCATGAAATAAATGGCCATTCTTGGACATTGATAATGCCAGTCTAAAGTGGAAAGAGTCGTTAGAGATTAAGATGAAAAAGCATGAGGCCTGCAGGGCACCTTAGTGGGTCAGGTACCATTGTTTCAACTCTTAACTTTTCTTGAATTCCCTATGTCCATCATATGTTCTACCTTACTTAATCTCCCTAGCCATCTTGGAGGGAAGATACATTGAATGTATTTTCAAAGCCTAAAAAAAAAAAAAGTGTCTGTGTTCTTTGACCCATAACTTGAAATCTGTCCTGAAGAAAAGATAAAAGATGAGTGTGCTGGCTAGTTTCCTGTCAACTTGACCCTAGAGTTATTTTGAAAGAGGAAACGTCAGTTAAGAAATGCCCCTACCAGATTACCTGTGGGCAAGCTTGTAGTGGATTTTTCTTGGTTGATGGTTGATGTAGGAGGACCTAGCTCACTGTGGGCAGTGCCACTCCTGGGCTGATGGTCCTGGGAGCTATAAGACAGCAGGCTGAGCAAACCATGGAGAATAAGCAGCACTCCTCCCTGGCCTCTGCTTCAGCTCCTGCCTCCAGGTTCCTGCCTTGAGTTTCTGACAATGCTGACGTCCATGGATGATGGACTATAGCTTTAAGGTGAATAAACCCTTTCCTCCTCAAGCTGCTTTTGATCATGGTGTTTTTATTACAGGAATAGAAATCCTAGATAAGACAGAAATTGGTATCAGGTTGTGGGGTGTAGTAATCAGGGTTTTCTAGAGGGACAATTTTGCCTCTTCCCCTGTGTGTGTGTGTGTGTGTGTGTGTGTGTGTGTGTGTGTGTGTGTGTGTTTTCAACAAATTGAGATCCAAGTAGTCCAACAATTACCGTCTACCAATGGAAGGTCCAAGAATCCAGCAGTGTTTCAGTCCACAGGCTAGATGTCTCACCTGGTCTTTAGTATACACCAGAATTCCAAAGATGTCAGCTCTGATGCCAGTAAAGGAATGGATTTGCTAGGGAGAGTGAGAGCAAGCAGGCTAAGAGAGAGCAAGCTTGCTTCTTCCACTCCCTTTATATAGGCTGTCAGCAAAAGGTGTGGGCCAGATTAAAGTTCTATCTTCCCACCTCAAAGATCCAGATTAGAAGTGGCTCTTCCCACTTCAAATGATTTAAAGATTTATTTATTTTTCACTTTATGGGTACAGGTTTTTTGCCTGCATGCATGTATAGGGGTACCATGTACATGCCTGGTGCCCGGGATGCCCTGGAACTGGAGTCACAGACAGCTGTGGGCCACCATGTAGCTGCTGGGAATTGAACCTGGGTCTTCTAGAGAAATACCCAGTGTTCCTAACCACTGAGCAATTTCCCCAGCCTCTCAAAAGATTCAATTAAGAAAAAAAATCCCTCACAGGTGTGTCCAGTCATTTGGGTTTTAGTTAATTCCATATGTACTCAAGTTGACAAACAAGAATAGCCATTGCATGGAGTGTTGCTGTGACAGGCATGACCATGTATTTTGTGGAGGATTGTGCAAAGACTTTAGAACTTTGGGCTAGAAAAGGCATTGGGTGTTCAAATATTGGTGAACCATTGTAGGAACTTGGTGGATAATATTGAGAGCAATACAGATACTTGAGGTTTGAAGTGTGAAGTTTCAGAGAGAAGCAATGACTCTATAAGGCAGTGGTTCTCAACATATGGATGGCAACCCCTTTGTGGGGGTCGAATGACCCTTTCACAGGGTTCACCTAAGACTATCAGAAAACAGATATTTACATTACAATTCATAACAGTATCAAAATTACAGTTATGAATTAGCAATGGAAATAAGTTTATGGTTGGGGGTCACCACAGCATAAGGAACTGTATTAAAGGGTCACAGAATTAGAAAGCTTGAGAGCCACTGCTATGAGAGTGCTATCTTAAATAAGAAACTGGCTAGGCGCGGTGGCCCATGCCTTTAATCCCAGCACTCAGGAGCAGAGGCAGGTGGATCGTGGCACACAGAAACTGTGGTCCAGAGGCAGCTGAGGTTGCATCTCATGCTAGCAGCCAAACTTAGTAGTGTAAGAGTCTCCCAGGTGGTCCTGGTTTTGAGGGCATGAAGATCAGCTGAGACTTGGGACTGTGAGAGGTCAGGACAGGCCAACAGTTAGGGGCAGCCTCATTAGCAGTGAAAACCCCGGCCTTAAAGGGGCCATGGAGAGAGGCTGTGGCTTGGCACCATGTGGCAGGGGCAGAGTCCCCGAAGAGAGCCAAGGAGAGGCTATTGATGAAGGGGCAGCCCAGGTGCAGTGGAGATTTTAGAATCTGGGAGATGTCAGTACCATGGGATGACTGCCAAGCGTGGGGTATGGCCAGCCTGAATCTATGAGACAAGCTGGGTGTGCTGTGGATAGCAGAACCTGGGAGGTGGAGCTGCTGTGGAAGCCCTTTGGAGCCCAGAGGATCCTGAGTGAGTCCCAGAAGTCTAACACTAAGCCTTACACTGTTAGATTTGCTTTTTTATTTGACTGATTGTAACTGTGCCTGGTTCTTCCCTCTGGGAATAAGAAAGTATTAGAATTTTTTTTTTTTTTTGTTTTACAGAAGCCCACAGTTGAGAAACTGAACTTCTACAAAGACTTTGAAATTTTAGAGAGACTTTATGGTTTTAGGGAGACTTAACATTTAAGAGAGAGTATGGATATTTTAGAGACTGGATTTTTAAAAGGTCTTGAACTTTGAAAGAGAATCTGGCTGTTCTAAAGAGAATGGACTTTTAAAGACTATGGGGCTTTTAATGTTATTTATGCTTTTATATTGTGGTGTTAATATTAACATGACATCTTGGGGACCCATGAGAAAGAAAAGGCTCTAGTTGAATAATGATGTATCGGTGTGTCAAACTGGTAAGAGGTCAATTGTGCTGGCTAGTTTTATGTCACGGCTAGAGTCATTTGGAAAGAGGGAATCTCATTTGAGAAAATGTCCCTGTCAGAGTAACCTGTGGGCAAGCTTGTGGTAGATTTTCTTGATTGATGATCACTGTGGGAGGGCCTAGCTCACTGTAGGCAGTGCTATCCCTGGGCTGATGGTCTTGGAAGCTATAAGACAGCAGGCTGAGCAAGTTACAGAGAGAAAGCCAGTAATCAGCGATTTTCTGCAGCCTCTGCATCAGCTCCTGGCCCTAGGCCCTGCCTGTGTGCCTGTCCTGACTGCCCTGGATGATACTACAAGCTGTAAGGTGAATAAACCCTCTGCTTCCCCAAGTTGCTGCTGGTCATGGTGTTTGCCACAGCAGCACAAACAATAAGGTATGAGTTATTAACATAGCAGCATGACTCATAATTATGGAACTCAGAAGCAGTGTACGTGTCCAGGAAGTGGGGATCTTTTGAATAGAGTCATTTAAAAGTAATATATGAATATATAGTAGACATGAAAAGATGTATTCACATTAAGTGAAAAATAGCTTACGTTTACAACTGAACTGTTGTTTGTACCTGCTGGGAGAGGGAAAATCAGCTTTCTCCAGTGTATCAACCACTCTGGGGTAGGCCTCATGTTGAGGAGTAGTTGACCAACATATAATGGACTCTGCAGTTTTTGATGTGCTTTTGTTTGGTTACAGTTTGGTTTTGTTGTTGTCATTGTTAGTGTTGGTTTTTTGGGGGGGTGTCATTTTATTTTCTTTCTGGGTTTGGGGAGTTTTGTTGTTGTATTGGGGTTTTGTTTGTTTTCTGAGAAAGAATTTACAGTTGGGTGGGTAGGGAAGGTGAAAGGGAACTGGAAGGTCTTAGGAGAGGGCAAGAATATGATCAAAATACATTTAAATTTAAAGTTGTTTTCAATAATAAAAATATAAAAATCACACACACACACACACACACACACACACACACACACACACACACACA